ATGGCAGTGCAGGGAAAAGCCCACCCTTGGCATTTCCTTAGTGGCTCAAGGAAAATGTTGACCTGGAGGTGTTTTTAAGTTAAGAGGACCTTTGGTGGCCTTTGATGTACAGACAGAGCTGAGCCCCACCCAACCATGCAGGTGCCCCAGCCCCACGGTACCTTATCAACCTCCTCTGCCGGGGCCTTGGGGAATTTCTCCACCAAGGACATCCTCAGGATTTTGGCCATGTAGCGCATCCCATAGCTGAGGAGAGGTAGGGAGAGGACCATCAGCATGTGGGTGCATCCTGATGACCCAGTCCTACTATCCATCATCCAGGAAGCAGCAAACGACCAGCTGGGTGGTCTCCTCCTGCCTTTCCCTACTCTGAGGTGATGGAGAAGCCCACAGGTAGGATTGGCAGCTACAGCACCCATCAGGTCCTTCCCCCCACCCTGCTGCCAATCCAGGCATCTCTGGAGGAGGCCTTCATCCTCTGAGATCACCACAAAGCTGGCAGGCATCTCAATTTCAGCAGTAAACTGCCCAGAAACAGTGCACAAAAACAAAAAACAAGCCAGCCCATCAGGTGCTGCTGGTATTTGGGGTTCCCCTTGCTGACAGTGCAGTAACTCAGTCCTGCAGCAGCAAAGGGGCCAGGAAGCCCCCCCATAACCCAACCTCCTTTCTAAGGCCTTGCTGGAGACACCTGAGAGCCCAGAGCACTCCTGGGGTGGGCACAGAAGCCATGGGGATACTCACGGGATCTTGTCCACAGAAGAGGTGATGGCAGAGACAAACTTGTCTGTTACTGCCAGGAGATTGCGGACGGAAATGTCCAACCTCCTTTGGACCTCGGGGTGGCTGAGAGCCTGCTCAGGGCTCACCTCATAGGGCAGCTTGCTGTGAAGGGAGCACAGGACCCCATCACCATCTCAATGCCCACCACCCTGTGGCCCAGCCAAGCCTTCTTCCCCAGGCTCTGACCTTCTGTGCCCACTCTGCGACTCAGTCTGGTTGATCCAGGCCTTGTAGATGTCCACGGGGTCAGTGTTGATGCTGAGGGTCCTGTCCTGCAGCACCTCCTGCACGGGGCCAGCCAGGATGTGCCTCAGGGCGCTCTGCCCGGGCATGTTGCGGTAGAAGCCGACGAGCAGCCGGATCACCGTGGCATTGCCCGTCAGGATGTCATGAACGTGGTCCACCTTGGACCTGGGGACAGATGGGATGAGGGGATGGAGCAGTGTTTGGGGGTTCTCCAAGCAGGAGGCAGCAGAGACAACAGCATCCAAGCTGATGCAGTTCAGCTTTTCCCTGGGCAGGACACACACCTGATCCCTTCCTGCCTTTCATTATTCCCACAGCAGGACACCCACCTGATCTCCTCCTGCCTTTCCCAAAGCAGGACACACCTGATCTCCTCCTGCCTTTCCTACAGCAGGACACCCACCTGATCTCCTCCTGCCTTTCCCAAAGCAGGACACCCACCTGATCTCCTCCTGCCTTTCCCACAGCAGGACACCCACCTG